TTGGGATTTGCATGGGAAATGGGGAATTTCATCAAATCACAAAGTCAAACTTCCTTGTCCTTTTCTTGATTTAGGATAAGGTCTTCCTAAATCCCAAACATTTATTTTTGTGTAAATATACTTAAAATAATTAATTTTAGCATAAAATAGGGGTTTAAGGGGTTTAGGATAGGAAAAATACGAGTTTGGTGTGATTTCCGGCGTCAAAATGCCTTAAAATGGTGAAAAAGTCCGAAAATGATGAAAATCCGGAGTGGGATCATGCTCCTGCGAAGGTCCGAAGGGCTTGAGAAGGATTCCGGAGTCATTCTTCAAGATCCGGAGTAAAGGAGTGCATTTCCGAGGCCCTCTATCAACTTCCGGAGTCAGATGCGAAGTTGGTCGGATCCGGACCGAGGATGCGAGGTGATGTCTTCCGAAGCAAGCCTTAAGCGAGACTATCCGGAGCTACCTTCCGGAGCTACCTTCCGGAGCAGAACCGAAGGGTCCGAACAGGGGGGGGGGGGGGTCCGAAGATGTACCTTCTCTTGGCTCCTTAGGAGGCATTCCGGACTAAGAAGGTTTAGGACTAAGAGGTTCCAAAGATGCTTCCTCTTGGCTCCTTAGAAGGCATTCCCGACCAAGAGGGTTCCGGACCAAGAGGTTCAGGAGCAAGAGGTTCAGGTTCAGGAGCAAGAGGTTCAGGACCAAAAGGATTCCGGACCAAGAGGGTTCCGGACCAAGAGGTTCAGGAGCAAGAGGTTCAGGACCAAAAGGATTCCGGACCAAGAGGGTTCCGGACCAAGAGGTTCAAGACCAAGAGGGCTCCGGACCAAGAGGAGTCCGGACCAAGAGGGTCCTTTTGGGTTTCCTCTTCCGGTTTTGAGTTGTTTTCGACTAAGGAAGGTGCTTAGAGAGATTTGGGAGAGATTCCACATACTTGGAGAGATTTGGGAGAGATTTCATATTCTTGGAAAGATTTGGGAGAAATTTCACATACTTGGAGAGATTTCACATGTGGGAGAGATTTCTCATACTTGGAGAGATTTGGGAGAGATTTCACATACTTGGAGAGAATTGGGAGAGATTTCACATACTTGGAGAGATTTCAAATATGGGAGAGATTTCACATATGGGAGAGATTTCACATACTTGGAGAGATTTGGGAGAGATTTCACATACTTGGAGAGATTTGGGAGAGATTCACTATTCTTGGAGAGTTTTCGCATACTTAGAGAGATTTGGGAGAGATTTCACATACTTGGAGAGATTTGGGAGAGATTTCACTTACTTGGAGAGATTTGGGAGAGATTCACTATACTTGGAGAGATTTGCATTATAACACTTTATGGCTCCTTAGGAACTCATATTGAACACTTAGGAGTGTTAGCACAAATCTCACAATAGTCCTTACTTACCTGAGGACGAAATTTCCTAGCCAAAAGTGCTAGTTGTGACAGTCGAGATAATGGATAGGGAAGTGAAGCGCACGAAACAGAGTCGCGTTCCGATTGTGAAGGTTCGATGGAACGCTAAGCGTGGACCGGAATTCACTTGGGAATGTAAAGACCAAATGAAGCAGAAGTACCCTCGCTTATTCTCGCGTCCATGATCCTACCTTTCAGAAGAACTTCGGGACGAAATTCCCTCTAACGGGGGGATGATGTCACAACTAGCATTTTAGCTAGGAAATTATGTTCTCACGTAAGCATCAACTATTGTAAGGTTGGTAATAACGCGTTAAAGGTTACATTATGATTCCTAATGAACCGTGTATTGTTATAATGCAAAACATTTATGTCTCTCAATCTCTCCTAATGTATCTCAAATCTCTCTCACGTCTCTCTCAACTTTTATAAACATTCGTACCATCCCAATCCTTTCCTTTGTTGAAAACAACTCAAAACCAAAGGAGAAAACCCAAAAGGACCCTCTTGGTCTGGAGCCTTCTGAGTCCGGAGCATGTTGATTTCGGACCTCCTAAGTTGAACCGGAAGATTTCGCATACTTTGGACCTTGCTCACTTCGGAACACCTTCACTCCGGAAGGTTTCGCTTCGGAATCATTCTCGCACGCCTCGGAAGACTCCGCCCCGGACAGCCTCGCACCTCGGAAGCCACTGGTCCGCTCCGGAAGCTGCTAACACATTCCGAAATCGAGTAAATGACTTCGGAATTCGCTCCATTGACTCCGGAACTCCCTAAACACTTCGGACCCTCGCATATTCCGGACTGCACTCCAGATTTTAGACCATTTCAGACTTTTCTTTATTTTAAGGTATTTTGACGTCGGGAATCCCACCAAACTCGTATTTTTCATAACTTAGACCCCTTAAACCCTTATTTTAGGCCAAATTTGAGTATTTAAAACATATTTACACAAAATAATATTTAATATTTATAAAAGTAATATATTATATCATAAAGTGATAAGGGGGTTTGACTTTATGATTTGATGTGAACCCCCATTTCCCATGCAAATCCCAGTAAAACACAAAATAACCATAGAAAACAAGACTTTGTCCAACAGTACTCCAAGCAAGTGTCAAGTCACTCCTTATTCTCTCTATTTAGAAACGTGAACCACCTTTCCCATATTCCACTTCTCATATCCATATTCTGTGAACTCCTAAGTGTGCTCTCAAACTCCTTCAAGCTTCAAGTCTTATTCCTTCAAAACAATTCCTAGATTCTTGTAAGTATCTCATTTTCTAGATTTGTGATTCTCCACATTATTCTGTAGATTTCATTATATTTACACATAAAAATTATGGATACATATTCTTAGGAAATTCTAAAGTTCAAAGAGTTATCAAACCTCTAAAGTGTTAGAACTTGGAAACTCCTTAACACCTCTTCAAATCATCTAACAAGCTAAACCAAAGTGAGCTTCATACCCCTACTTTTCCGAGTTTTTATTGTTTTTGGGGGAGAATACAAGTCAAAACCTTGTTCTAAACCTTGATTTATTTGCTTGTTATGCTTGCTATGCTAGTATGCTAAATTATATGTGCTAAAGTTATGAAAACTTCAAGAAATCGAAATCTTGGGCAAGTCTCAAGTGTTTGAATCATATTTCACAAATTATACAAAGAAGCAAGAACTAGTATGTTACAAAATATAAGTTACAAGTTTTTATGACAAAAACCATAAGTATTTACGTCAAAATTTCTTAAACAAGTATTTGAGAAGAAATGGGCAATTTTCAACAATTCACCTAGTTTTGAAACATTTATGACATCTTTTAACAAATATGAGTCTTACTTGATAAATCATAAAAAGAAGGGCCATTTTTGCCAAATATGAGTCTTATTTGATAACTCACCAACATATTTTATGTTGACGCTTTTCAAATGACTTGTATTCTCAGGAAATCAATAAGCAGGTTAATGGAATGCGGACTCAAGATCATTTTGATGTAGTTTGGAATTTTCTCAATGTTGTCTCTTTTGTGTATCTCAAGAACATGAACAATATGTAAAAACAATGTAAATTTGTTATATTGATGTATGATGTTTGGAATTGCTATGTTTCATTTATATTCAATTGTTATGATACTGCACAATGAAGTCACCCGCCTCCGAACGTTTCTGTCGTTCTGGTCCGGGGGTGTGACAATCTTGGTATGTTGTATTTTGTTAATGTTTGAACTTTATGTCATATGTTTATGTAGACTTATTTTGGGGATTACTGTAATATATATATATATATATATATATATATATATATATATATATATATATTATAAATGATGGTTGTTAATGTTAGATAAACAAGCCCTGTTTAATATGTTTATTTTGGATATGTGTATAGATAAACTAATAGTATTTTGTTTGATATAAAATGTTTGAATAAATGAATTTTAACAAAGTCTATTGTAAATAAACGTTGTTATACTTTTTCTTTTAAGTCGTGCAAAGCAACATCATTTCATTACCTATTGGTTTTTTTTAAACTCTGTTATGTATTGAAATTTCATCAAATTTGTTTTTAAAATATTAAAAACTATACATCTTGATTATTATTAATTTTACCTTTATGAAACCAGATAATACTACGAATGTGAAAAAAAAGTATTATAATTAAAACAAAATTTATAAAACAACTATTATTTTGATGGAATGCATACAATTTTAACACAAATAAAAGAGTTTACAATAAACAAAAAAAAACCTAACAGATATAAAATACTTCAAACAAATTGTTCTAATGACTCATTCATAACCATTAATATGAATACTTCTACATAATAGCAACCACTGGTTGTTTACTTCAACAAACATATTTCATGGACCAAATGCAGCTAACCGAGCTCCTATATTGACAATACCTTCATGATACAATACACGCCTATCATTTGCAGAAAGTTTTTGATACTCATCAATAAGTTGCTCAACTTCCTATTTCATTATATTCACTTCACTCAATAGAATTTTCAAACAATATCTTCTTCGAAGCTTTCTAAGTTGATAAATCTGCTTAGCACTTTCCATTTTAAACCCACATGTCCATTGAGCTAAAGGACCACCCTTATAAGTTTCCATATGACGCATCAAAAAAATCCCACAATCATTACTGTTACCTCTTGTTTTCCACGTCATATACTGATCTACAAATTCCATTTCATATTTAACTGAAAATGCCATAAAATGATTTATCTCTTGAAGATATCTACCAAACATTTATTTCTGCATTAACAAATAAAAAAAAATATTACAATATGCATTATAATAAAAACTATACTTTTTGAATATAAATAAACCTATAAATTACAAACAAAAACAATCAAACTTACCAAATTTTGAGTAAGATGAGGGTATGGATTTTCAGAACATCTATACAATATGTTGTCCAATATGACAGCTTTGCGGTTTTTAAAATAAAAAACAAACACAAAATAGTGATTGTTTGCACATGCAGGAAAGAACACCTAAATATAAAAAATTCAATTTCCTATTTAGATATAAACAAAAAAATAATAAAATTTACAAAATAAAACAAAACTTACCAAATCAATTCCTTTTAACTTTCTTCTGTATTTAGACTCTCCCAACAATGAACAACATTTTCTTTAAAATTGTTGTACTCATCATCAGATTTACATGCTTTACTATGCATGTATGCAGGATCCTAAAAACAAAACCATCAATATAATTAACATCATACTAATATAAAAAATATAAATAACAAATAATATAAGTACCAATACTATTGTATTGAAAAAGAAACATGCAGGAGTGTCCAAATTCATTACTCTCTCATCATAGTTTAACACTTCAACAAAACAATCAATAGTCCCAGAAAAAAGATATTTTCCAGGATATAAGCTCTCGAACATGTATCTTTCCCCACGTTGACCATTTATGCTATGAAAAAGATTGTCCCTATTAAAATACAATTAAAATCCATTAAACATATTAATCCTTATACAAATAAATATGTATATATATACAAACTCAGTACGTTGGATTTCCACATAAGCTGAATACCCAATTCGATTTGATATTCTCCTCCTTCGTCAAATTACTATCAATCTCAACAGCTCGTACAACAAATGGAGACCTAAGCACTGGAGGTAACGTTTGGCTTCTCTTTGGTCTCGATGAAATCATATCATTCTCAAGTATTTTTAACGTTTTCATTTATATCAAGATAATTTATTACATTTCCTTTGACTGAAGAAGAACATATTCCAACAGAAACAAAATTCTTAATAACATAACTATCAACACCAATATTAACTTTTCTGGGAGTATAGATGTCATCCTCAATTCCTAAATTAAAAGAAGGAATATCCTCAATTACACATTTGTTCCTATGAACATCCTCACAATCCACATGCAAATTAGTTTCATTAAAACCAGTTTTGCCATACTCTTTACCCACACCAGATTTATTAATTCCAACACTGTTTTTAATAGACTGACCAAAATCTCTAATGTCCGAAAACTTATCATCACAACTACTGCTTTTGTCATATGACTCAAAAGTTGATTCAGATTTAGAATTAATATGACGAAAAGCTTTATATGCAGAACATAACTCTTTCACCTTCAATCCGTAGAACTCTATTATTTTCAGATTTCCATGCTTTTTAAAAGCTTTATCCATCTTCTTAGACATATCTATTAAACACCACTTAATTTCTGAATGAAACTCCTGAGAACAAAAAAAAAAGAATATTAGCAAATTATAATTAATAACTAAATCTGAAAATTTGAACATACATCTAAGTAATCACTATCTGACTCAATTTACTGCAATTTTTTTTTAATATCAAAATACTTAACACATCAATCATGACCATTATCAAATATACAAAATTAATATTACTTACTAAAATTGATCCTCTAGCAACTTCATCAACATTCTTCAATGTACCAGATGGTGTTCCAAAACCTCCGTTTGCAATTTCCTTTATTTCCCTTACTTTCAACTGATCTAACGTCCAATGATTAATCACTGGATATCTTCTAACCATTAACATTTGCTTACATTGAATCCTATCAACATATAGCAACTAGAAAAAAAAAAACAAAAATTAAAAACAAAATATAAATAATACTTATATTTTAAACATATTAACTCAAATATTATTAAATGAAATACCGTTAGAAACACACGCGGACCATTGAAGAAAGTTTTTATATCAGTTCTGCTCCAAATCAATTTCTCTTCTTTTACACAATATAATACATACGTACACCAATCAAACTTATGAAACTTATATGATTGAGACAAAATATTAATGAAAAAATAAAAATTATAAATTTTATATATACTTTTAGGTTTATTTCGAAGCACAAATGTAAATTACACATTTATTAAAAAGATATAAGAATAGTCATAATTTGAATAGTCAAATCGTATTAATTACAATAAATAAAAACAATCATTTTACTTAAAAACATTAAGTCTCATCCGTTTAAAAAACTAGCAATATATATTGATTACTTTTTAGACTTCCTACAATACCTACGTTATACATATTTCATATTTCCTATTTGAAAAAATCTTATATCAACCGTTTATAAGAATGCAATATATATTTATTAATTTTTATATTTCAAACATTACATTTTTCATTAATATTGCATATTTACTTTTTGAAAAAAAAGAAAATATTTTTAAAATAAAAAATAATATTCTTTTATTAAAAATTAGAGAATCAATGAATTAATACTATATGGTCACATCGAATAATTACCAACAAAAAAAACAATTATTTTTCTTTAAAAAAATCATATATCATACATTTAAATGATTTGCAATATATATTTATTAATTTTATACTCCCTACAAAAACTATTTCAATAATATTTCATATTTCTTTTTTGAAAAAAAGAATAATGAAAAAATAAAAGTAAGAAATTTTAATGTATATTGATTACTTTTTAGTCTTCCTACAATACCTATATTATACATATTTCATATTTCTTATTTGAAAAAAATCTTATATCAACCGTTTAAAAGAATGCAATATATATTTATTAATTTTTATATTTCAAACATTACATTTTTCATTAATATTGCATATTTACTTTTTTGAAAAAAAAGAAAATATTTTTAAAATAGAAAATAATATTCTTTTATTAAAACTTAGAGAATCAATCAATTAATATTATATGGTCACATCGAATTGTTTATATATATATATATATATATATATATATATATATATATATATATATATATATATCAATCAATACATAGTTTATATAAATTGCAGATTCGTTTTTTTAAAACAACAATATTTAAAAATTACAAATTAAGAAAGGATAAACATTATAATATAGGTTGTATAGTTTATATGATTAGCTAATACCCTATAACCGCCAAAATAGGAAAACATTCTTATCTATGCAAATGTTGTTAGACAATTAATTACCACATTTAATAACTACAATTACTACTGATATATATACCTCCTCCACAACTTGTGCAATTATCATAAGCGTAAAGACACATACAATTTCCATTCATGGCTTTTGAAACATTTAATTGGGGATTACGCAACCCATGAGAGTATCTTGATCTATATGAACTATATGGTATGTTTCGTGTTGTTAATAGCTTATGATATTCATATTTATCTAATTTTTTTTCTTATTCATTCAGGATCTGAATACTCAAAATACTTCTCAATGAAGATAAACCATGGAGGAAGTTTCTTGTACTATCCAGAAAGAGGTTACCATGGAGGAATAGTTGATCATGTTGATTTCATCAACATAACTAATTTCTCTTTGGAGGTATTTCAGAAAATAATAACTTCTTTTGGTTATGATATCAACAAAACCTTTTGCTACTATTTGGTTTCTTATGCTCCATTAGATGTTGGTTTAAACAATCTTGAAAATGGTAAGGATATTTTTAAATTTCTCAAAAAAGTGAAAACTGATGGTTTCTTGTGTGTTCAAGAGATATATCTGGAACATCATCGCAAAACTGTTTCAACCTTTTTCCCACACACATTAAACTTGGCCACAAACAGTTATCTTTGCACACTACTGTATACATTGGTTGCATCCAATCCAAATGTTAATGTGTGGGAAGCAAGAATCAACCTTTTTGACAGATTCAGCTTTTGGATTGATGTTCACAAACTCCATGAAGCTTTGGAATACACAAAGTTTCAAGTGAATCTTCTCAGAGGAAACAACAAGGTGGAAATGTAGGTTTTTGGGGTTTTTACTGTGGTTTTATTAAGAATATTGGTATGTTGTATTTTGTTAATGTTTGAACTTTATGTCATATGTTTATGTAGGCTTATTTTGGGGATTACTGTAATATATTTATAAATATTATCGATGATGGTTGTTAATGTTGGATAAACAAGCCATATTTAATATGTTTATTTTAGATATGTTTATAGATAAACTAATAGTATTTTGTATGATATATTAAATGTTTGAATAAATGAATTTTAACAAAGTCTAATGCAAATAAACGTTGTTATACTTTTTCTTTTAAGTCGTCCAAAGCAACATCATTTCATTACCTATTGGTTTTTTTAAAAAACTCTGTTATGTGCTAAAATTTCATCAAATTTGTTTTTAAAATATTAAAAATATACATCTTGATTATTATTAACTTTACCTTTATGAAACCAGATAATACTACGAATGTGAAAAAAAAGTATTATAATTAAAACAAAATTTATAAAACAACTATTATGTTTGATGGAATGCATACAATTCTAACATAAATAAAAGAGTTTACAATAAACAAAACAAAACCTAATAGATATAAAATACTTCAAACAAATTGTTCTAATGACTCATTCATAACCATTAATATGAATACTTCTACATAATACCAACCACTAGCTGTTTACTTCAACAAACATATTTCGTGGACCAAATGCAACTAACCGAGCTCCTATATTGATAATACCTTCATGATACAATACACGCCTATCATTTGCAGAAAGCTTTTGATACTCGTCAATAAGTTGCGCAACTTCATGTTTCATTATATTCACTTCACTCAATAGAATTTTCAAACAATATCTTCTTCGAAGCTTTCTAAGTTAATAAATCTGCTCAGCACTTTCCATTTTAAACCCACATGTCCATTGAGCTAAAGGACCTCCCTTATAAGTTTCCATATGACACATCAAAAAAAATCCCACAATCATTACTGTTACCTCTTGTTTTCCACGTCATATACTGATCCACAAATTCCATTTCATATTTAACTGAAAATGCCATAAAATGATTTATCTCTTGAAGATATCTACCAAACATATATTTATGCATTAACAAATAAAAAAAATATTACAATATGCATTATAATAAAAACTATACTCTTTGAATATAAATAAACCTATAAATTACAAACAAAAACAATCAAACTTACCAAATTTTGAGTAAGATGAGGGTATGGATTTTCAGAACATCTTTACAATATGTTGTCCAATATGACAGCTTTGCGGTTTTTAAAATAAAAAACAAACACAAAATAGTGATTGTTTGCACATGCAGGAAAAACGCCTAAATATAAAAAATTCAATTTCCTAATTAGATATAAACAAAAAAATAATAATATTTACAAAATAAAACAAACTTACCAAATCAATTCCTTTTAACTTTCTTCTGTATTTAGACTCTCCCAACAATGAACAACATTTTATTTAAAATTGTTGTACTCATCATCAGATTTACATGCTTTACTATGCATGTATGCAGGATCCTAAAAACAAAACCATCAATATAATTAACATCATACTAATATAAAAAATATAAATAACAAATAATATAAGTACCAATACTATTGTCTTGAAAAAGAAACATACAGGAGTGTCCAAATTCCTTGCTCTCTCATCATAGTTTAACACTTCAACAAAACAATCAATAGTCACAGAAAAAGGATATTCTCCAGGATATAAGCTCTCGAACATGTATCTTTCCCCACGTTGACCATTTATGCTATGAAAAAGATTGACTCTATTAAAATACAATTAAAATCCATTAAACATATTAATCCTTATACAAATAAATATGTATATATACAAACACATTACGTTGGATTTCCACATAAGCTGAATACCCAATTTGATTTGATATTCTCCTCCTTCGTCAAATTACTATAAATCTCAACAGCTCGTACAACAAATGGAGACCTAAGCACTGGAGGTAACGTTTGGCTTCTCTTTGGTCTCGATGAAATCATATCATTTTCACGTATTTTTAACGTTTGCACTTATATCATGAGAATTTATTACATTTTCCTTTTACTGAAGAAGAACATATTCCAACAGAAACAAAATTCTTAATAACATAACTATCAACACATGTATTAAATTTTCTGGGAGTATAGATGTCATCCTCAATTCCTAAATTAAAAGAAGGAATATCCTCAATTACACACTTGTTCCTATGAACATCCTCACAATCCACATCCAAATTAGTTTCATTAAAACCTGTTTTGCCATACTCTTTACCCACACCAAATTTATTAATTCCAACACTGTTCTTAATAGACTGGCCAAAATCTCCAATGTCCGAAAACTTATCATCACAACTACTGCTTTTGTCATATGACTCAAAAGTTCATTCAGATTTAGAACTACTATGACGAAAAGCTTTATACGCAGAACATAACTCTTTCACCTTCAATCCATAGAACTCTATTATTTTCAGATTTCCATGCTTTTTAAAAGCTTTATCCACCTTCTTAGACATATCTATTAAACACCACTTAATTTCTATATGAAACTCCTGAGAACAAAAAAAAAAGAATATTAGCAAATTATAATTAATAACTAAATTTGAAAATTTGAATATACATCTAAGTAATCATTATGTGACTCAATTTACTGTAATTTTTTTTAATATCAAAATACTTAACACAACAATCATGACCAGTATCAAACATACAAAATTAATATTACTTACTAAAATTGATCCTCTAGCAACTTCATCAACACTAGTAACTTCAATGTAGCAGATGGTGTTCCAAAACCTCCGTTTGCAATTTTTCTTT